CTTAAGCGTCTAATTAGCTTTCTTAGTTTGTCTATCCGTCTAAGGGTGGAAGGCTGTGCTTAGCTTACGCTTTATATGCGCTTCGTAGTAGAAGTTAGACTAGTATTAGCTAGTAAAAACCGAGCCTCTGTTACTAATAATGCCTACTAGYACGCCGTATTTACAAACTACGTAAGATATAAAGATATCCGCTAGCTCTACTATATTGCATTGCTTAGTAGTAGGGATGAATAAAGCTATCTTCCTATAGCGGTCGACGATTACGAGCACCGTAGTATAGACGCTGTCTCCGCGCTTACTAGGAGGTAGATCCGTAATAAAGTCCATACTAATTTCTTGCTATGCTCGATCCGGTATAGGCAATGGAACTATTGCTCCGTAGGGGCGGTAGTGCCGCGCCTTACTTACGAGGTACATGTAGTACCCCTTAATGTACTCTACGACATTAGTAGCTATGCGTAGCTAGTAGTACTTCCTCTAAAGTAACTCGAGCGTTTTCGCCTTCCTAAAGTGTCCGGCGAGAGCGTTATCGTAGTGTATACGCATTAGTTGCGCACGTAAAGCGTAGTCTTTCGGAATGTATAGGGCATCGCCGTAGAACAATGTTCTATCCTTAATAATGTAGCCTTCGTACTCGCCCTTCTCCCTAGCCGCGTCGCGCATACTCGAAGTATCTACGTCTGCGTTTACTAGTACTTTGGCGTAACCGAGTATTAGGTCTAGAATATTTCTAAGGGCTAAGTCTGTAGCTGCTAGGACGGCTGTAATACGCCTAGGCAGCGAAAGCTCGCCGCATGCTCTAGTAGGTAGTAATCCCTCGCACTTGATCGCGTAGCACATAGCTCTTACTCTTCTAATAGAGGGCTCTGTCTCGCTTCGAAGAGCTTTATTAGATTRCTAGTTCTAAAGTTTGCTTTGTAGTATAGGTAATAGCATGCTTATATGCTAAGACGACTCCGTAACACTCGCTTCGTAGTCGCTACGCCTACTCGGACTATCCGTAGGGTTCTTTGTCCCTACGCGATATTCGATAGTGAAGTCGAAGGGCGCTAATTAAACCGCCTATCGTGCCTATCGACCGACTAACTGTTTTATCGTTATAAAAGCTTTAAGGTTAGCATAGTCGACGATTACTTAAATCGCATGCGYAGCGCTATCGAGGTACGGGCGCCACTACTTAAACGCACTTACTACTATAAGTAGCTCTTTGTCGTAGGTCTCGTAATTGTATTCGGCCGGGATTATCTTCCGTAACTAAAAAGCAATAGGATGCCACTATATGTCCTTAAACTGCTATAAGAGGATGCCCGTAAGCGCGAAGTCCGATACGTCGGTTTCGACTCGTAGGCGAAGCGTAGGGTTATAGTGCCTTAGTAGTAGGGCTAACTAGAAGGCTTCCTTAAGCTGTCTTAGCGCATTCTCTTCGCTAGCGCCCTAAGGGATCTTCCCTAGCTTCCTGCCTTTAATAGCTCCCTTCGATAGGTCGGTTAAGGGCCTCATAATGCGTAAGTACCACTAAATGAACCGCCTATAGAAGTTGGTAAATCCAAGGAGTACTTACACATCCTTAAGGGTTTCTAGCCGAGGCCACTCGGCGACCGCGTCTACCCTACGTAGGTCTATCGTAACGCCTTACGTAGTAACTACGAAGCCGAGGAAATCGACTGAATCTTAGAAGAAACTACACTTCTTAAAGTTGTAGTAAAGTTGAAACTTCCTTAGTCTATCGAGTACGGCGTATACGTTACGCTAGTATTGCGCTCGGTCCTTGCTATAGATAAGAATGTCGTCTAAGTAAACGACGCAGATTACATCGACTAGCCCCGATAAGGCTCGGTTAATGTATCCTTAAAAAGTCGCTAGTACGTTACACAGTCTAAAAGGCATAACCTTATATTAGAAGTGTCCGTAACGCGTACGAAACGCAGTCTTTTAGCGGTCGCTAGCCTTAATCTTAATGCGATAATACGTAGCCGAGAGGTCTAGGCTAGTGAAGAATGCGTTGCCCCTAAGTCGATTAAGCGTCTCGCTGATTAAGGGAAGTAGATAGCGGTTCTTAATCGTGATTTCGTTTAAGCCGCGATAGTCTACACATAAGCGTAGTAAGCCATCCTTTTTCGGAACGAACAGGATAGGCGCACCCGCCTCGCTTTCGCTAAGCTCGATCCAATCGTTCTTAGTCGCTTTAGTAATGTACTCCTATAGCTTAGATAGCTCTCTTAGAGACTAATAATAGAGAGGTTTAAAGGGCGGCTTCTTGCCTAGCTCTAAATCGATAGCGTGCTCTACGTCGTCGGGGAGCTTGCGCCTCGCCTTATCCGTAGGAAAGAACATATCGTAATATGCCTTGAACTCCTCCGGAAGCTCGGGCATACTAAGGATTTCGCCAGTGCGTAATACGCTTACTACGAGAACCCTTATGTACTTGCCCTACATCTTACGGTAAAACTCCTATAGATTAATAACCTTAATTCGGCTAGAGCTTGGTTTACTAAAGCGCTACGCATCCGTAGCGCTGTCGACGATTACACGTTGTGTACGTCGCTAGGGGCGGCCTAATATTAGTTCGGGCTTCGGAGTTTCGTATATATAGAAGGTTGCTTCTRTTATTCGTTCGACTCCTTCCGAGTCTGCGATACGTAGGCGTATAACGTGCGCTCCGTAGTAGTAACCTAGTTCTCCGGTAAAGGAGGATGTAGATAGCAATAGCGCATCTACTCTCGCTAGTAAGCCGGCTCGAAGCACGAACTCTCTCGATACAACGTTAATATCGGCTGCATCGTCTAGTAGGCGGTCGACCTACATTAGTCCTGCCTTTGTTTCGACTGCGCCGCGCTAGTAGCGCGCTAGGTGTATATCGACCTTGCTTAATAGCTTTAGACTTAGAGTTTAAGCTTTTTCTCGGAGTCCCTTACTTTTTCCGTAACGACTACGGTGACCTTGCTCCGCGCATTGCTCGGGCCTTAGCCTTCTACGGCGCCGCCTTTAGCCTAACATGTCTTATTAGTATAGCCGGTGCGGCTATAGTTAGAGCACTTTAGGTCTGAATTAGCGCCTTCTTTACGCTTGCGTAAAGGCTGCTCGCTACTACGGTTGGACTTAGGTTTGCGTTCCTTATTACGATTGTAGGTATTCTTTCGTAGTCTACTACTACTACGGTTATAGTCCTAAGACTTATAATTGCCCCGCTTAGTACCCGTAAGCTGTGCGCTCGTACCCTTATCGGCTGCTTTAATGCGCCTTGCTAGCGCTACTATCTCTACCCTTGTTATAGGTATAGAGTGTAACTTAATAATCTCCTAACGGAGAGCTGGTCTTAGCTTAGCGAGGAACTGACGTACGAGCTAAGCTTGCGTGTAGTCTAGTTAACTCTCTAGCACTTCTAGTTTAAGGGCGAATTGTTTTACCGTTTGATCCTAGCTCTATCGAACCCTTTCGTACTTAAGCGTAACGCTAAGCGCGCGGTTCGTAGGGTCCCCGACGGTGTTACGTACGAACGATTAGAAATCCTCCTACGTATAGCTCGGCGTAAGCGCCTCGATATCGTGCTCGTTATGCTACGACTCCGCGGCGTTACCTCCTAGCTACATAACGCTATAGAGGACCTTATTATAGTTACTCTCTAGGCTAGTAGTAGTATTAGCGAAGATTATCTTAAGTTAGCGTAGGAATTCGCGTGCCTCTTTAATAGAATCCCCTAAGAATGGTTTAGGATCCTTTATCTTAGGTCTTACGCCTACTCCGCTACGCGTATGCGCTACGCTTGAACTCGAGGTGCTTATAGCATCCGGATCTTCCTTATACAAGAGGCGCGTAGGCAAGACTCCGCGACGGGGTATAGTAGTAGCCACGCCTACGTCGGCGCGGTCCCGATTACGCTTTATTTATTGGACTTCCAACTAAAGTTAGCGAATCGTCTCTTACTACTATAGAGCCTGCTTCTCGCCTTCGAGGCGCTAGATTATCTTATTAGCGGTCTCTTCCTTATCGCGTTCGATTTCTCCGTAATCCATCGTGTCTTCGTCTAGCGTAGGCTGTATAGGCTCTACGGTAGCGACTTCTTCGACATCTCCGTAGTTAGGGAGTTCTTCGACGCGTTCTTCTTCGTAGCGCTGCTCGGGAGCAGTCGCTTCGCGGGCGGCGCGCCTAGGGGCTATTTCGTTAGGATCTAATAGATCGCTACCCTTAGAGAGGAAGAAGAATTAGAATTGTAAGGGTAAAGATGTAGCAATGTATTAGACACCCGTGATCACTCGATTAGAGATAAGACTAATTCTTGCAGGTTAAATGTGCGCTATGCGYAGGAGTTATGCATGCGCTAAGCCTACGCTAAGCAGTTAGGCCACATTGCACTCCCTTCTCTAAGGTTGGTTAATCTAGCTACCTCTATTAATCCTGTTATTGCAAGGGCTCTTACACGGCCCTTACAGAGACTAATACTTCCGATATAGTAATAGGAGCGTACCTTATATAAGAGCACGATAGAAGTAGGTACCTAGTAGTCTACTATTCTAGAAAGATAACACCCGTAGAAGAGAACTATAATATATATAATAAGGAGCTTCTTACGATTATCGTAGTACTACTATACTAGAGAGTTTATACGGAAGGAGCACCTAAGCTTACGATTCTTTCTAATTATAAGAATTGTTAAAAAGTGAAATCTAGGGACGAAGAGAGAGAGAAGCATCTAGGACAGTCGGGGTAAGCGAGTGTAATTTAGAGAAGGAAGAGCCTTCTTAAAAGACTAAATATAAGTGGTTTCTTAGCAAAGGCATAGTTATTCCCTAGCCTATTAAATTCTAACACTCCCCTATAGCTATATCTCTGTCTAAGAATTCCAAAATTTAAAAAGGAAGGAAAAAACTACTAAAAGGTATATTAGTGCTCCCCTATTCCCTTAGAATCCTCCCCTATTTCCCTAGACCTAATCTAGCTCCCCTATTTTTAGAAATCTTCTAAATCTAACCTAACTAACTCTAGATCTAAAAAGTTAGAATATTCCTTAGATCCTAAATCCTCTAGTTCTAGATCTAACCTAGTACTAGACTCTAAATTATCTAGTTCTAAATCTAACTTAGTTCTAGATTCTGGATTAGATAGAGGATTCTTAGAATCTAAGTGTTAGTCTCCC